AGTTAGTTTAATGGTTGTGGTTGTCTTTCTGACTGAAATTGTATAGAGCTAGAGCTTCACATCTACTACAGCAAAAGTACGTTTTGGTGGGTTTCACATGAAGAAATCCTTCCGGTTGTAGCTGACATAGTTATAGTTGTAGCTTACCACCCCTTATGAGCATTTCGTGACGATCCTCAAATCTCCTGGTTTCTCACTTGGACTTCGAACTTGCCAGTGTTAATATAGGCATACCTACATATACTGATACTTACATGCACAACAGTAATTGTTTAAATAATTTTACCAAGTGATGTTTATGTAAAACTGAATTATTCTTCATAAATTGCAATTACATATGCCATGTAACGTTTGAATACGCGTTCAGACTATAGCAGAGTGGTTCACGGACGTTGATTCAGACCAACCTGTATGCAAACGGAAAGAATTTAAATTTTGGACTTCAAAAATATAAGTTTAACCCGCTTCGATCATAGGCAAGTCCTTTAACGCAACAGATCGTGTGCTTCGTATGTGTCTGCGAATCATCCATAAGTGTAGGGCAATTTTTAAGAACGCGTAGATATTGATAGTTTATAAGTGATCTGTCGAATATCCAGCTATGCGGCGGTAGTGCAACCAGTTAGGGCGTTGCGCGACTGATTCGTCAGTTTAACGGGAGATCGTGGGTTCTAGCACCGGATCGGACGACTTTCTTTCCACCGTCGCCAGTTCAGCCAGCTGTAAATGGCAACGGGACCTTCACAGACAGACTGTAGGTGGAGGTCCCGGGTGGAGACGCCCGGTTGGGTTTATTTAACGCCCTAACCGTTAAATAAATCTTCGGAGGGCTTCCCCTTCGTTCTAGTTTTAGTAGAGTTATAAATACCTTGCATTATGACACATCACGTGCCATTTCCCCATCGGATCGGGGATGGGCAGTTGTAAAAACCGGACGCTGGCCAAGACGCCACCAACTAGCATCAATGACGTCTTTGCCATGCCCCTAGTGGACAAATCTCCCAAACTATGGCATATATGTCCATACTTCGTCATTTATGAACAGATCACGTAATGACTTTGTGGGTTCCATGGATTTCTGTCTCACCAAGATTTCTTATGAGGTAAGTTACGCTTTCTTTTAGTAATCTGTGCTTCCCCGGTACCTCTCTAGCAGTAAGGCTGCCAAATATTGCTTTATGAATTTTGCTCAATAATTTTTTGGACTGCAGATTGGAAACTGAACGGAAATTCTCGGAAGCAGACCATATCGAAAAGAAATTCCCTTGCATTGCCAAAATCAACAGCGAATGTTATATGGTTTCATCAAATGCATACTGAAATGTAGACTCACCAGAGATCCTTTGCCATTACTAAGATTCTTATGATGCCTTAGTTAATCATGAATTTCAGTGAAGGAGGAGGACAAATGTTGTGCCATTTCATCTCCTGAATTCCGTACTGGAAGGAATTTTTCAGGCGCATGCATCATGGCATTGTGTCTTGTAATGTTTGACGTGACGACACCAAATGAACGCTTTGTGCCTATTAATCGCAGGCTAACGAGTGACTACTGGTTTCATCACTGGTTGCGTTGAAGGATAGCGGAGCGAATTGCTTGGTCAAGAGAATTAGCATTTCAGTGCAGAAAATTAATGCCATTCGTTGGTTTTGTAACCAGCACTTTAAACTACAACGCAAATTACTAACTCATTATCGATTTGATCTTCTCTTACTCAGACAAAAATGATGTAGCTTTCCATAGTTCAGACAATGGAGAGAAATGTTTGTAGTACCTTGACAGGTCAATAGTTTAGCGCCTGTCCATTTTCTCCTGGTTTATGTTAGACTCATTGTCTTCAGTTAAGATGATACACTCAAGAATGAGAAGATATCATTATATACATGTTTTCCTCCAGTTTTTCAATTTGAGTGTTCTTTTGCTAGACGACCATTTTCCTGTCCTATTAGCTATATGCTTTTTAATTTAATCATATATTTCCTAACGTGCGATAGAGCTTTGTTCAGACGGAAGTTTGAATGAGGTGAAGAAACTGCGTCAGTAACATGCCGGAGTTGTTATCAGTACTAGTGTGATGCAATCAACTTTTTTTTGTACAAATATGTCATGCATGTGTTGTTCTTCTGAGTGTGCAGTGACGAACCGGATTTCAAGCCACAAAGGTAAGTGTTCATAACAACGTCCAATATCTGACCTCGTGCTGTTTGAGCGAACGTTCACCACAAAGAAATTGCGAGTCCTAATTCGACTGACATGTAACCACCACTGGGACGAAGATCATCACTATAACTGTTCCAGTGCCTGCCTTAATTGGAAGTGAGTGACTGGCAGCCAACGAGTAAGTTGTTTGTGCGTTTGAGGCAGGTGGCTTAGATGGTCTGTTGTTCATAATGTTGCCCATGTGCACGATCATCGTTCAGAGAAATAGGCAGCATAAAGCCTCGTTTTGACTGTATCATTCTTTGTATTGGTTCACTTAGTTCTGCCGTGATCAGGCACTCGATTGAAATCATAGTAGTCAAGCTGGTTGTAACGCTCACGTTAGCCCTT